CTCATTGCTCTCCACACCTTTGTGGGCCTTGGGCTTTGCCCTCAGCAGGGCAGCCCGTTGGAGGAATCTTCTAGAGAAACCTGAGCTCATCACAGTGAGAACAAATGCTGTGTGGTGACTGCTCCGGGGGCTCCTTTAAGGGGACTTTTGTTTTAACCCCCTTCCATTCTCAGCACAGTGACATGGCAGGTCCCATGATCATCCTCATTTTATAGGGGAGAAAACTGAGGCACAGGGTGGCTAAGTAGCTTGCCCTAGGTGGTTCTGCTAGGAAGTGGCAGAGCTGAGATTTGTCTGTAGCAGGTTTGGCTCCAGAGCCAGGAGGGCAGCCCTGTATTCCAGACCCCTTCCCATTTCCTGCCAGCCCCAGCCTCCTCCACAGTAAGTGGGCACCCTTGGGCTGAGAGGACACACGCCATGCTGTTCTGGTTTTTGACTTTGGTTGTGGGGCAGAAGGGGCCCTCGGGACCCAGTGGAGTTTGAGATCCTTGAGTTTCATGGACACACATGTCTTTGGCCACATCCTCACAGAATGTCCCTTGAGTTGGGGCAGGATGGGGCTGGCCTCTGTGTCCTGTCACTGCCACAGTTTATTGGGTGAGTCAGGGCCAGGCATTGTTGTCTCTAAGGTCTTGGTTTTCTTATATTTAAAATCAGGGGGCTGGACTAGGTGATCTTTGAGATCTCTTTTGGCTCTGACTTGTGGTGTTTCCATGGTGGTGGTTGGGGACGGGGTAGGAAAGCAGGGGAGCCATACAACTGCAGCAGCCCTGGGTTTCTCTGGGGGCAATCCTGTGGGGGGAGGGAGGGGGGCTGTGCCCCTGCACACAGGTGTGTGGGAGCCTTGTTCCTGTGTGTGTGTGAGTGTGTGTCTCTGTGTCTGTAGATATGTGTCCTGGAGACCAGACCCTGTGAGTTACTAAGCTTTGGCATGCACGCGCATCACCAAGGGCTGTTAAAGCACGGACTGCTGGGCCCCACCCCAGAGTTTCTGATTCTGAAGATCGGCTGTCGGGCCTGAGAAATTGCATCGAGTCCAGGACCACACTTTGAGAGTGGCTGTTGATATTGATGGCTTTCACACTGTACTCTCTGGAGTGAGATCAGAGGCGGGGTGGTATTCTGCATAACATTTTTATGAATAAGATTTCCTAGACTGCAAAAAGCCTGCATCCTTCCATTCTTGAAGAATACCAGCCCACTCCCAAGCACATTCTGACAGGCCTTGTCCTGGTGCTGGGTTCTTTCTCTGTTTCTGTCTCCCCTCTTTTCTCTGCACCCCGGATGTGGTGCCTGGCTCTCTCCTAACTTTGGCCCCATGCTCACCTTTCCCCAAAGGGCTGGACTTGACCTGAACCTGCCTTGACCTGCGCAATCCAATCTGTAGTTGAGAGATGAAAACACACTTAATGTGTTACAGAATGCCATTCCAAACTCAAATGGATTTGTAAAAATGATCTGGGAGGTAGAGTAAGTCATTGTGTAACTGTGCCTCAAGAACCTTACTTGGCTCCCACTTGCCCCCAAGGTGTGGTTGAGACTTCTCTCTGTGGCATTCAGAGCCATTCATGTTTGGGCTGCAGCACCTCTTTGGAGTCCTGCCTCCCATTATTCCCCGTGGGAATCCTCTGCCCCAGTGAGCTGATCTACTGTTCATTCCTCCAAACATTCTCAGCATCATTCACCCTCAGTCTCGTGATCAGGCCACTTCCCCTGCCTAGAGGGCTTCTGACCTCCAGTTTGCTCACCTGGGCCCTCCCTGTCACTCCAGTCCCATCTTTGAGAGGTTCCTTGTTGCCCAGACCCCCATGTTTGTGGATTATTTTATCTTTCCACTCCCAGGAGCTCATAGTGCTAGCAGCTGCTGTGTGTTAAGCTGTTAAGCACTGTATTCAGGCCTGGCAGTGTATGTAGTCACTCATTTAATCTGCACAACCACTATCTGAGGGGAGAACTACTCTCGTTTGACAGATGAGGAAATGGAGGCCAAAAGATGCAAGAGTTTGTCTAAGGCCACAGCACTAAATGACAGTGAGGATTCCAGCCCAAGCCCAGAGCCCGTGTTCCCACGTTTATCACAGAAGTGTGTGCAAGAGCAAAACAACTGGAACAAGCTGAAATGTTATCAGGAGGCATTTGAATCAAGAGCTGAATCGCAGCATAGTAATATGATGAAATCCCATAGAGCAGTTACAATGAAAACCTTGTTCTCTGTGTAGTAACATGGTCATATTTTGAAAACATAATGCCAGTGAAAAATATGATAGGTTGCAGAGTGGCATACCATATATACACGTTAAACAACACAATGGCCAATATAATATGTTGTTTATAGACAGAAAGATAAAACCTTGGACTGAATACAAACCAATTTCATGACAGTCTTGGCCTCTAGGGAGAGAAGGAGAGAGGAAAAGAAGGGTATGTACAGGTCTTTTAACTTTACCTGTAATGTTTATATTCTCTCTTTTTTTAAAGATCTTGGCATTTGACAGAATGGTAACATGTATTAATTCCAGGTGATGGGTAGATAAAATATTCAGTACATGATCCTTTGTTTTTTCTTTATTACAATGGAATTTTAGAAGCCCTAAGCAATAAAAAGATTATTATACCTACTAGATTTATAATTTAAAATAAAAACAATATTAAAATCCTCATATTTCTTGGCTGGGGCTGCCATAAGAAGATCCCACAGACTGGGTGGCTTACAAAGCATACATTTTTTTTTTTATGGTTCCGGAGGCTGGAAGTCCAAGATGAAGGTGTTGGCAGGGTTGGTTTCTTCTGAGACCTCCCTCCTTGGCTTGCAGATGGTTGCCTTCTCACTGTATCTTTACATGGTCTTCTCTGTGTGCGTGTGCACCTGTGTCCTAATCTCCTCTTCTTATAAGGACACCAGTTATTTTGAATTAGGGCTACCCCAATGACCTCATTTAAACTTAATTACTTCTTTAAAGACCCTATCTCCAAATACAGTTACATTCTGAGGTCCTTGGGGTTAGGACTTCAACAAAGGAATTTTGAGGTGGACACAAAAATATTATAACAATTCTAAAACAAAACAAAACAAAAATGCATGCCTGATGAAATTTAAAGAACCATTGTTAGATTTTTCTGAGTGCAGAATTCTGTAGAAGTTCATCAAAGCTGTTTATTTTTTCTCTTTTTTTTTTGGTGTTTCTTGCTGTAAATGCCCAAGGTGCCTGCTTAGTTGGTCATGTAAGCAAGAGAGCCCTATGGAAGAAGTTGCACAGTGTTAGGTGAAATAGAGGCAGATAAAGGGAAGGACACACACAAACAACTGCAAGGGTCTGAGAAGGGTCCACAGGACAGTTCTGTGTTTTAAATTTAGATCTCAGGTGCAAATAAGCAAAACAACTCATATATAAAGTACATGATTTCTAGCTCTCTTATCAATTAATTAATTATTTCAACAGCTGCCAGTGAGCACCACACTTGTGTCAGTAACCACATTAGGCATCCCTCCACCCTCCATACAATGACAATGGGCTGGGACCTTCAGCTCTGAGGATTTGGGTTAGCAGTAAGAAAGAACTTCCCAAAACAATGGGTCACAAAATAGGGCTATGGAATTGTTTTCTTTGGGACATGTAACTACATAGGATCCCTCCCATCCCATCATTTTATTATGCAAATCCTCAAACATACAGAGAAGTTGAAAATTTTGCAGTGAACATCCATAAAACTACACCCTAGACTCTGCAATTAATATGGTACTCTACTTCTTTATCACATCCTCTATCCATCTGTCCAGCCCTCTATCCACTCTTTCTCTATCCTATTTTTCTGATGCATTTCAGAGCAAATTTTAGATGTTAGTATGCTCGCTCTACATACTTCAGCATGTATATCATAAAATTAACATTAAATTCTTTTTCACTTTTTAAGCTAATATTCATATTTAATGAAATGCGTTACTCTTAAGTATGCATTCTCTGAGTTTTGACAGATGCACATGCCTGTGGAACCCAAACCCAGTGAGAGGCAGAACATTACCATCCCCCAGAAAGTTCCCCACACGCTTCCCAGTCAGCATCTGCCATTGCCTCCCCAGGGGGAGCCACTGTTTGGGGGATTTTCCTTTTCTTTGCTTTTTGTTATCTGCTTTTGAGAGTAGTGTTTATTTATTTTTTTTATTTTGGTAGATTTTGGAGTACAAGTTGTTTTGGGTTTCATGGGCGAATTTATAGCGCGAATTTGTGGAGGAGATTTGTACCCAATGTGTAGTTGTTTTTTTTATATCCCTTCCTCCCTTCCACCCTTCCCCTTCTGAGTCTCCAGAGTCCATATATCCCTCTGTATGTCTTTACATCTTCATAGCTTAGCTCCCGTGTTGTTTTATTCTTCTCTTTTCTTTTTTACAATTTTTAAAAAAAATAATAGAGGCTGGAGTCTCACTTTATTGCTCCAGCTGGTCTCGAACTCCTGGCCTTAAGTGATCCTCCTGACTCAGCCTCCCAAAGTGCTGGGATTACAGGCATGAACCACAGTGCCCAGCCTGTTTTGGGCTTTTTCACAATAGATGACTTTTTCTTCTTCTACAGCTTTATATAAATGGAATCATATAATATCTACTTGTCAGAAATGTTTGCGAGATTCATCCACATTGTTACAGATATCAGTGTTTGGTTCCTTTTTATTGCTAAGTGGTATTACATTGTATGGGTAACCTGAGTTGATCTGTTCTCTTGCTTTGGTTGTTTCTAGTTTTGGAGTATTATGGATAAATCTGCTGTGAACATTCTTGTACCAGCCTTTTTGTGAACATATGCTTTCATTTCTCTTGGGTCATTCCCCAGGAGTGAAATTTCTGGGATGTTTTATAAATTTATGTTTAACTTTATAAGATACTGCCTGACCTTTTTCCGAACTGGTTGTAACAGTTTACACACTAGGACTGTTTTTGATTAATCTGGGTTAGGAGAGACACGTTTATATGACTGATCGAAACAGGACCTTGTATCTTTGTCTTGCAGAGGAAGAAATTGAGGGGAAGAAGGGTGGCGTCACTTGTTCAAGGTCACCCAACTGGTAGGTGGCAGAACTGGGATCCCCTTTGACTCAAAGCCCCAGGGGAGCTCCTGTTGTGGTGCACTGCTTCTTGCTGCTTTTTGCAGAGGAGTGAAGCAGGCAGAAAAAGCAGACAACTGACTTTTCAAGGGCACCTTCTGGGGTCCTCAGCCCAAGGATATCCCCCTAGGGTCCTCTCAGAGCTCCCTTCTTCTCTCTGACACTGTGGAAGCCAAGGCCTGGTGGGCATTTGGTGCTCTTTGGCAGGGCTGGGCCCCTGGGTCTCTGGCTTGGGGCTGGGTCGTTTCCTTGGGGTTCTCCATCCACCCTAGTTGTGCTGCTTCTCCCAGGGGCCCAGGCTGAGTCTCATGTGCAAGGGATAGACGAATGCCACTCGAAGAGGGCCTGGTCCCACCAGAAAGGCAACTCACCTGGAATTGTATCTCTCTCCCACAATGGTTTAGCTGCGAGTCCTGCTTGCTGAATGCTCAGATGTGGGGTCTTGGAAGGCTGAGACCAGTGAGTGTCCACGGGCCCCTTCCTCGGTCTGCGGCAGGGTAGTGAGTGCGAGGGGCCAGCAGCCAGCCCAGCCTGCCAGCTTAGAGCCTGGAGGCTATTGTGGGTGGGGTAGACAGTGACACAAACAGGCCTTACTCATTCATGTTGGTGATTCTGTGATGTGCAAGACACAACATTTCTGGCCTGGGACCTTAAAATTCAGTGGATAGAGGCCGTCAGTCGATATGTAAGAAAATAAATCAGTACAATCTTATCAGGAATAAGAAGTCCCGTGAAGGTACTCAGCAGAGTGCTCTGTTATGAGGTGTGACAGGAAGGTGAGGAGGCTGCCTTGGTGTAAGGGTAGGGCATCTGGGCTCGTGGAGAAGGGACTGTCCAGCTCTAATCTGTCAGTGAGAGAGAGTCAGAGCTTCTTGAGAACTGGAACCAGAAGTTTCCAGGCCCAGGGCACAGCCAATGCAATGACTGTCAGGTCGGAAGGGGCTGGAAGTATGTCAGGGGCTGATAGGAGGCCCTGGGAGCAGGGTTGAGTAGGATGCACTGGTGGGAGTGGGAGGTTGGAGAGGTCTGCAGGGACCAGATCAAGCAGGGTCTTCTAGGCTGTGGGAAGGGGTTAGATTTTAATCCTAGCAAAATAGGAAGTCCCAGAGGGTTTTTCCTTTTAAATAGGAGCTGATTTGACTTACAGCTGAAGTGATGGGTATAATAAATGTGTTAGAGAAAGAAGCACAAGGTTATACGGGTTTCTATGAGGGGGTGCTTAATCCAGGTTGGGCACGCAGAGAAGTTCCCCAGAGGAAGGGGCAACTGAGCTGGAACTGGAGGGATGAGCAGGCATTAGCCACATGGTGAGGGTAGAGGCGATGGAGAGCTAGTCTAGAGGAGGGAGCAGCGTGAGGATGGCCCTTAAAGCAAAGGAGTCTTTAATAAGCCAAAGAAAGTTCATTCTGGCTGGGGAAGTTGAGAGGTGACAGACTGTGCAGGCCCAAGGAATATGGGCTTCTTATAAGAATGGCTTATAAGTTTGGTCCTGCTTGTCTTTGTTTTTCCAGTGTTTACCGTATGCCTTGCTATGTAAATGCAGGGCTGATGCATGCATCAATGAATGAATGAATGAAGGAGAATGAATGAATGAAAGAAGAGAGCACACTCTGGAGGTGTGTACGCTATGGGGGCTTTTTGAAGGTTGGGAGTGGGGTGCTGAGAGACAGCCTTGGGTCCTGAGAAGGGCCGATGTGATTGGAGTAGGGTGCTGTCCATCACCTCCTGACTGAAGATCCAGGCTGCCTGGCAGGCTGGCCTGGCACAGGACGGTGACTGTGGACCTCCTTTGCCATGAGAAGAAGACTTGGTCCCATCCAAAAGGCATCGAGGTGCATGAAAGGGACTCCAGCTCAGGAATGTCACTTGCTAAAATATATTTGTTTATTCAGAGATTTAATTAACATGTTTAAATATTAAAGAGTAAACAACGCGTGTCTAGTGGGACTCAACATTTACCAACAGTTCTAACTTATTTAATGATTTGTTTTCACAGCCCTGAGAGCCATGTTTCTGGCTTTGTTCTAGGGAGGCCAGGGGGAGTAGAGATTCTCTTGGACAAGGCAGGGAGGGGGAGAGCTGGATGTCAGGGGAGGAAGAGCAAGGTGTAGGGAGAAAGGGAGCAGGGAAGGAAGGGAGAGTAAGGAGGACTAGGAGGAGAGAGAGGAGAGAAGAGCAGTTTTCTGAAGAGGTGGACCTCTCCAGGCAAAAGAAACTAAGACCCTGCATTTGGTTTTTGTGGAAAGAAGAGAGTTTTGGAGTTTCAGGACAGTGGGGCTAGGCTGCAAATTATGGAGGCCTGTGGCAACTAGGAAGTCCTTGGGGTAGTCTCTGCAGCTGGGGGATTAGAGAGTCTTGGGGTTTTCTCTTTCGAGGATGCTAACTATGGTTTCAGTGTGCTAACTTTCGTGGGGTGCCGCTTCTCCCCAGGATGCCTAAAGAGCATGCAGGCTGTGTGGCAGCAGCCCATTCCGTTGCCTTCACAGGGAGGGAAGGATATGGACAGATAATAAGACCCCCAGCCACCACTGCAGGTGGAACTGTGGGAAGCCAGAGGTGTTTCACAAGTGATCTGCATTATAATATCTCTGCAAATGAAGTCCTGGATGCTGAGAGATTACACTGGGGGGGTTATTTATTGGCAATGTGCTCTACGGTTTTAATTTTTTCTTTTTGCTTATTCAGGCTTTAGCTCCAGAGGAAAATAGCCTGGGGTGGCTCTGAAATAGATTCTCTCTGCCCCATTAACTTATTCAGTGAGTTTAATGGTCCCTTTTCCCCTCAGCCTTGAAGCCATCATTAAAAGGCAGAGATTTATAAAAGTGAAGACACTAAGCTTTAGTCAAACTTTTGCTCTGGGCTGGGGGGAGGACCTGGGTAGGGGTGCCACCTCAGCCCTGCTGCTGTGGATACAGCCCATGAGTGGGCTCAAGACCCTCAAGATGGAAGCCGTAGGCTGGAGGATGGGTTCCTGGGTGTGTGGGGGTAGTAACATCACGCCACAAAAACTCTTTAGGGTTGAGTGATCCCAGCTTCTCTCAGCTCTCACAGGGCCGGAGTGTTATGATTGTCACTGAAGGCCCGGAGGCTGAGTTTTTGGGGGTCCTCAGTAGGTCTCTGGGGCCTTTTCTTGGTACATCCCACTGCCCAACTCCTGGCTGCTCACTGCCTGTTTTGGTTCAGTTTACTGCAAATGAACTGCTCAGAAGTCGCTTCATGGAGGGATTAACTTGTCAGAAGTCAGTTCCTTTCCAGCCAAGTGTCTAGGGAGCCAATTGCCCAAATGACCAAAGAGCAAATGGCCAAAAGAAAAACAGCCACATTTACCAAAACTTTGATTTAAGGAATATAATTATTGAATCAAGCCAAGTTAAGCCAGTCTAATCCAGAGCTGTCCAATTCAGTGCAATCCAATTCAATCCACTTCACTTCCTCCATTATTTGAGCATCTGTGCTGTGCGTAGCCAGATATTGCAGAGGGTACAGCAGAGAAATAAACCAGGTCTGGGAGCAGATTAGACAAGTGCACCTGTTCTGTAAAAGAAGATGGATGTGACAAGTGAGGTGGTGATAGAAGGGGATGCAGTGGGGTGCGGTGGGTTTTAGGAAAACTTTGAGGATGGCAGCAATATAGGGGAGTCCCTGGCTGTACAGGTAGGATCTGAATAGGGAGGGAGGTGAGGCAGGACATTTCAGGCAGAAGGTGCAGCACACAGCCAGACTGCCCAGTGGGGTAGGGTGAAGTGCAAGATCCCCCATCATCTGGAGATAGGGAGCATGGAGCGGCCATGAGCGGCCACAGATGAGCTGTGGAATTCACTTGGGGAGGGTCTTGAATGTTGTGCTGAGGCATCTGTACCTTATCCGGTTAGCTACTGGAGTCATTGAAGGTCTAGGAAGACAATCTTAAAGAAAGTTCAAATGGCTCAAAAACATTTAAGTATCTTTTTTAATGGAAAATTGAAATAGTGAAAAGCAGGAGATAGAATAAGAAATCACTTAGTTCTAGCAACCAGGAAAAAATCCCCCATACTCTGATGGATTTCCTTTCAATCTTGCAGTAGGGTTGATTCTATAGTAAGGTTAATACTAGAGTCACAAGGCAAAAAGTGATCTCTGAAAACTCTTTAAACTTCCCATGAGTGGACATGAGTGTGTCCACTATGAAGAACCCAGGAGTGAGACCAGCTAGGGTACAGCGGGTTCAACACCTCTCTTACACTGGTGCTGATGGATGCTCGCATTGAGTGAAATCGAGGCAGAAACACCAGCCTTTGAAACCTGGTTATTTCTCTTCTCATTTTTCCTGGGTGCAGAAAGCTAAATTTGCCTAGACTCAATGTGTAGACTAAAGGAAACCGTTGCATTTGTGTGGTGTGTGTGTGTGTGTGTGTGTATTTACATATACTTGGGCAATTATTTTTAATCTGTGTTTCAAGAAAGAGAATCTGAAAGTGACACAGATTGAGGAAGAGGAGAAGCAGACAGTGGAGAAAGAAGACAGGAGGCAATTACAATAGTTCTGGTTGGGTGATGTGGGTGGGAGGCAAGGGGAATGGAGAGGAAATATATTTCAAAGCCTATTCAAAAATGCTAAACAATGCTGATTTTCATGTGTTGAGTGTGAGAGTTGGAGGTGTTAAGGCAGAACAAAATGCCCAGAACTTGGGTGAGAGGGGGAACAATGCTGCCTTTAGCAGGAACTGGTTGGGGGAGAGGTCTGTGACATCTGTTTGGAACACACTGAGTTGATGCTGCTTATGAGAGATGAATAGCATGCAGGTTAGAAATGGTCTAGAGCAAGACATCTTGCCTCTAATCAGCAGACCCATGCTTGTTAAGTTTATCAACTCAAGAAACCAGCAAGAATGGCTTGTTAAAGAAGGAGGGTCAAGACGTGTTCTGAGAGCCCATTCTGCTATGGCCACCAGCCAGTTTTCTCCATGGGCATCAACCAACTG